CAGCGAAGGAGGTTCTGAATTTATATAAACTAGAATTATATGGCAAAGTTGCAGAGAAGAAGCTTGTTTGGCTCCAAGAGATAGTTACTCCTTAGTTTCCCAAGAAGTTGTACGTGTCGAGTTTTCTTCTACACCGTGTTCTTTGGAGTTAACCCCCAAGTGCAACTTTTTAGCATTTATGCTGATAATCATCTCTAATATGGGTTGTCCTCTTATATTATTCTGTATTCTACTAAATTCGAAGCATATGTTTATTCTGTGGATATGGTTACTTGTATTGATCTGCAGCTTTTGTCACTAATAAATTCATAATCACAAAACTACAAAAGTGTTTATCCAATAGGGAACATGTTATGTAAATTTTGTAAGTTGGTTTTTTTTTTTTTTAATGATGCGGATTGATTACCAAAATTCATTGCTTTTTAAGCAATTGTGGTGAAAAATTGAACTGATTTGGACAGTGATACTGTTATCCTTAATTACTTATTTGGTTATCAAACAATATAAAATAAAACAAAAATGGAAGTGGCCTTATATTATACAGAACTGAAGAAAATGCTTCTGGTATTTTCACTTGCCAGACGAACTTAATCTCCCGAGTATCTTTCCTTGCCAGCACTTATTGTATATCATAAATTTCACATGTCTGCAGAACTCTCCCGGAACTTCTATCCTTCTCCAAGCTCATTCGCCTGTAGCTATCAACTTTGCACCAGAGACTTTAGCATCGGCTCCGAAGCCAACACTCAACCCGTTGAAAATCAGGCCAAACCCGAAATTCCCAGCTTGAACACCAGCTTGGGTTCGGAAAAAAACAACCAGACTACTCACGTAAAGCTCAACGTGAATTCCAACCTGAAGGTGTCCGAAAGACACGATCTTGCCATGCTTTTCACATGCAAAGTCTGCGAGGCACGATCGCTCAAGACCGCGTGTCGTGATTCGTACGAGAAAGGAGTAGTTATTGCCAGGTGTGATGGCTGTGGCAATTTGCACCTTATTGCCGATCGATTGGGATGGTTTGGGGAGCCTGGCAGTGTAGAGGACTTTTTGGCTGCCCGTGGGGAGGAAGTGAAGAAAGGTTCGCCTCATACCATGAATATTACGCTTGAAGATCTTGCTGGCAAGAAAGAAACTTAGTGGTTGGATTTTGTTAGTGATAATTTTATATTTTTGTGAACTCGGGCCTTTTATGACTTGTTATGCTTGAGCTTTGTTCAGCCTTTGGTTTTTGTTCTATGCAAAATATGTGTTTCTCTTTGTTATCGTGGTGAAAAACCGAATGGATTTGAAACAAATTTATTCTATAATTTTGCATTTGGTGGGGAAGAAATCGAAATCGAGAAGGTTTCTGGTTACACTATGAACCTGACACTCAATGGTCTTGCTCGAGAGATCGAGAGAGAGAGAGAGAGAGATCGAGAGAGAGAGAGAGAGAGAGAGAGAGAGAGAGAGAGAGAGAGAGAGAGAGAGAGAGAGAGAGAGAGAGAGAGAGGCTGATTGCAACTATCTGTCCATTTGAGCACAAAATTAGTGTATCTGATCAGTTATAAGACGGATGATATTCAATAGACAAGCTCTTTTTTAACAATGTGTATATAGCTATAGGTTTTTCTCAATCTCAAATGTCAATGGTAATGTGAAAAAGATTTCAGATGGCAGCTCTCGTTATTCCAATTCATGGTTGCCAAATGCAACACATCGTTTACAAAACTAAAATCACCAGCCACAAAATAAAAATCCATTTGCTGCAAACACATTATGCTAAAATCTCACTGCAAAAGTGCTGAGAATAACCCATTCAATAATCTCATTCCTCAGATATTTCATCCAATAATTTTTTACCTTCGTCGCTCAGCTCCACATTCTCCATCTTGATCCTCCGGCGCATAATAGCACTCTTTTTCTCAGCAGCCGCATAGATTCTAATCAACGACTCGAACACCGTATGCCCCAAATCATCCTCAGCCTTCTTCAATACCTCCAGAAAACCCTCAGCACCATCGACATCCTTGTTTTCCTCAAAATGTTTCATAACCTTCTCAACAACTTCCGGCTTTGGGACCCACTTACGCCCGTTCTCTATACCAGCAGAGATTGCATTATCAATGCATCTCACGACAGCTCTAATAGGCCCATTCTTAAGATGGAAGTCAATAAAAAGCTCCCAAGTCTTAGCATTAGCTTTCGCTCCTCTCTTCTGAGACATATATTTGAGGTTATCGGCCTTCTTATACGAGCCTTCTTTCAGATAAGCTCCGATAAGAACGTTTGCAATACGGATATCGTAAGTCGAGCAACTAATCGACCAATCGTGGAAACATTTCTCTGCACCCGGCAAATCATTCAGGTTAACGAGCACCTGAATCATATTCAAATAACTCACGTTACCAGTTTTCGGAAAAGCCACCATCAACGAACGCCAAACACGGTATACTTCGAGTAGATTTCCGGTTTTACCGTACAGCGTGATCAGAAACTGATAGGCCAAGAAATCTTTGCGGGGCCTTTTGGTTTCCAGTTCCTTAAGCGCTTTTTCCGCTTTTTCGTATAATCCGGCATTGGCGTAAATGGATGCCAAATTACTGTAGGTCGTCCAATCTGCAGAGACTCGGCCATCTCTCTTCATTTCATCAATAACTCTTTCAACTCCCGATATATCATTCACAGCAGCAAGAGACTTCATCCATACATTGTAAGTGAAAGTGTCGGGCATGATATCAGCCGCTTTCATTTCTTGGATTAAGGGTGGAATCATTTGAGGAGCCCCGTTTTTTAAGTATAGGTTCATGAGGCTGTTATACGGCATGGAAGTTAGTTCCAAATTGAGTTCTTTCATCTTCTCAAACAAAGATTCTGCCTTTTCAGTCATCGAGTCTGTGCAGTAACAATTAAAAAGGGCGCCATAAGTAAGATGACTTTTTGATGTCTCAGGCAGGCTGATGAAGTAGGCTTCAGCAGCAGGAATGCCTCGAGCTTTTGCGATTAGATCAAGATGTATTGCTTGATCGCTAACAGTTTTGTTCATTCCTCTTTTTTCCATGATCTCTGATAGCTGCAGAAAAAAAGTGAAATGTGATATAGATATTCAGGCAGAATCTAGTAAGATAAAAAGAGTTGCATAAAATTATGTAAAAGTCTGATGATGGGATATTTTTATTATACATCATTCAACAATTAATAATAACATCGTCTTAAAACAATTCCTTTAGACTTCAAAATGAAATTCATTAGGATCTTCATTAGTTTATAGCTTTCATCAAAGTTCTCCCCTTACTCGGTCAAATATTTGTGGTCACACACATATTACCCCCGTCCAACAATAGTCCTGCACAAAACATATGGAAAAGAGAAGACAACCTTATATCATAAATAAAGCCAAACAGGATAACATATTAGCTTTAGATAAGTTATAACTCCGAAGATGATATGCTAGTCCCTGCATCAGCATCTCCAAGATTCATTAGAGACACCATGTATTTTGTCAACATGACAAAAGGAAAAAAAAAAAAAAAAATCCAAACAAGCCAGATTTAATATTCATATTTTGGTTTAGCATTACACCAGCTCGGCACCTAATTCAATGATCGTACAGGACAGTGATTCACTACACTCATAATTATGGTCTTTTGCCAGAAAGAAGCTGGGAGGGAGTAACTCAAAATTTTCCAATGTGTAATGCAAACATCCAATGGTCTTGTAACTAAATTCAAGCCTGTTTCGACTAACTTGGTCCAGATGCCTTTGCAAATTCAAATTTTGAAGAAAGCAAAATTACAAGTTGTACCAATGGGTTTCAGCTTCTTTACAAGATAGAAAAGGCGCATCATCCCATCGTCTTTTCGTCTTTCTTTCTTCTACTCATAGATACTAAAGTTCTCCAAATGATGAACACATTTATACCTAAACAAATAATTCACACAGCCCATGAACAAGAATGACAACCAATAATAACAAAACATACTCATCTATACTATGACAGACAATACTCAACAGCATATTTACTCAACGAACTTGCATACACACAGGGGGAAAGAGAGAGAGAGAGAGAGAGAGAGAGAGAGAGAGAGAGAGAGAGAGAGAGAGAGAGAGAACAAATCAACATTCACAAGTTTTGACACCTCCTCCATGAGATACTACAACAGAACACCAAATATGAAATAACAAACGATACGATTCGTCAGCAAAAGGGTCTTGAAATGTGAATCAACCACAAAGCGTTAACGACTCAACATGTTTACCTTGAGTGCCGGCCCATAGAGCCTGCGGCTGCGGAGGATCTTGAGAGTGTGACCAACTTCCCACTTAAAAGCACTCTTACGGGACTTGAGAAACTCATTCAGCTTGGCCCTAACCTTCCGTTCTTCTCCGCCATCGCTGAGCAGCTTCGTGTAGAGCGCCTCTTCTAAATACTTCTTCGACGACCGCTTCAATATTTCCTTCTTCTTCGCAAATTGATGCATAAACGAAGACGCCATTTTTCCTTCACTGTTTCGAATCGATGCGACGATTAATCAATGAGGGGAAATCACACGTATTTCAGTTGCATTTGGGAATGGGAGGAGATGAAACCCTAGATCAAGAACAGTGAGGGGGCTGGAGACTGGAGAGTGAGCTATGGAAATGGCGAGGGGTATTTCGGTAATTGTGTGGTAAGAAAATGGGCCTCCCATAAGTCTAATTCTAGTGGGCTAGAGAATAATACTAAATAATAATTATTAGTAACTACTAATATGTACTCGTGCGATGCACGGGATGAGACATTAAATGAGTTATTTTGACAACCTTGTACGTTTAAGTCTAAAAAAATTAATAAGATTATTATTTATTTACTACCTCTTTTAATTAACTAAGTCTAAAAAACAACAGGGTTATAAGTTTTTTTTCCACATATTTTAACCAGCGTTGTTTTTTTAGTCAGAACATTAAATATGAGCATGTTACAGCTAGCTTGTAAAATAAGAGTAATGCTATAGGTACATAATGTTGTACATAGAGGTGTACATAACACTCACATTAAGTGGGACCCTCTAAATTTAAAAAATCAAGTGGACCCCACTCCATGTGAGTGTTATGTACATCTTTATATACATGTAGCATTTTTCGTATAATAATTAATATATTATCTCACTAAAATATTTACACAAATAAAAATATAATTTTAGCATATAAATTTATCTATTGATATAAGAGAAGGTAACAGTTTAATTATTCTTGTTCACCATATAATATTTAATTATTATTTTATTATATTATATAATAAAAAAGAATATTATTAAATAGTGTAATAGAATTGTTATATAATTATACGATTTTTTTTTTTTACAATATGGATTTAATATCTTTTATGTTTTGATAATATAACTATAATATATTCTTAATTATATAATAATATGAGATACGGATTTATATAATACCATGAATTTATTCTTTAATGTTAAGATATTGAATTAGGTAATATATAATTCACTAATTTGTAATATGTCTCTTTTTATATTAAAAATAATCATATGATTGAGTAGAAATAACAATTATCTATGAATTCCTTCATTTAAGGAATAATTTTTAAATTGGTCCAAATCGTTGAATACAGCCCGATTTTCTTATAACTAAAATGAGAAGAGATTTTGAGTTTCAAATTTTCACTTCAAAACCACACGTAAATTTGGATGCAGATTTTATTAGAATTGAATTCAACAAAATCCATAATTTTAGGAGCATTTAATGCTACCCTATCTTATGATTTAAAAAATTTGAAAACTCTTGAGGGAGAGCTTTGCCGTCCTTGTGGTTCTACCCGGCTCGATTCCGGATTAATCGGTTCCCCTGTGGATCCGGAAACCGAAAGGTCCCTGTACCAAAAAAAAAAAAAAATTTGAAAACTTTCTAAATATTTGTCCTGGTGGTCCGGAATCGGGTCGGGCCGGGACGGGACGGGTCCGGGACAGGGCCGGTTCCACTAGCCGACCCTTGGGTTTTAGCGTGCTAGTTAAGGGTCACCCATGGGCCGGGCCGGGTCGGGTCACGGCCCGTTGACTGACCACCTCTAAGCTTTGGCATAATCGAACTTAGGGGGTGTATTCAATTAGGACTTTTAGAAATTTTTTAAAATTTTCAAAATTTAGGGGTATTCAATTGAAACTTTTTGAAACTCTCAGAATATTTACATATATCCAATTAAAACTTTGCAAGATACTTAAAAGTTGCATGTTATTGAAGTTAGGAGGATTTTGAGAGACTTTTAAAAGTGAATGATTCTTGGAGTTTTTTTTTACCAAAAGTATAAAGAAAAAATACATGTGAAAATCTCACCAAATTTGTAAGATCTTAGAAGACTCCTCTCTCTCCCTCTTCTAACGTATGCTATCATAGCATCCAGACCTTTTAGTTGTTGGTAGCTTATAGAGATATATTCCTAGTTAACGTAGCTCAATTTGACCTCCTTTTGAGTTAAAATAGAAGTTCATGATTCAACTCAAGGCTTTTGTATTCATCAAACATAAGTATGAATATTTTGGGTTTTCTCCTTATTTCCAATATCATTGCCACTGGTATTTAAATGCTTGAATAACAGAAGAAACTACATAAAAAGGGGAAATTATCTCCAGACTAATAACTATGCTAGTCTGTAGTCAACACATGGATATGGGGTGAAATGCATGAACATAAGTGCATGATATTGTTAATTTTTTTTTTTTTTTTATTATTTTATTTTTTTAAAATGTCAATAAAATAACTATTGCACTCTTTTGGTTCGAGTGTTAAATATATTACATTTTTTTTTTCTTACCGACTTCGTTTGTTAAAATATTTTTCTTTCTTGTCTTCATTCTAGCTCAATAGACAGGGTTTAATATCATAACTCATTTTAAATTATTATCATTATTTTTTAATTACTAATTTGACTTTATTGATATTAATTATTATCCAAATATTTTTTTACGAACATTTCATACAAATTTAATTATTATATGAAGAATTATATGAAAGTCTTATAAAGTCCAAAAAAGTTCACATTGAAAGGCTTAAAAAGTCTCCATAACAATATCACAAAATACACATAAGTCATTAAAAGTTGTATAATGTTCACAAAAGTCATCCATTTTAAAAAGTCTTAAAAAATCTTTAAGAGTCCTAATTGAATACAGTCTATTTTGGTTTGCGGAAAAAATAAGGGAAAATTTTATATACACACCGATTGTATAATATTTGCAACAATAACAAGGGCTGCATTTATATTGTAAACTTACCAAATGGATGGAATTTATTTGTGATAAAGCAAATATCGGCTACTCCCAACAAAAATCGATCAAGTCTCCTTAATTTGCGTGATTACAAGATTGCCGTTTTCATTGGAAAAAAATGGAACAATTCATGGCAAGTGTATATATATCCTAATAGCTTGCTCTTTTTTGTTGGAAAAAAAAAAAAATATATGGTAAGTGTATATATCTAATATCTAGGATATTGTTCAATTCAAAAGTGGACGATATAGATTTTGTTTACTTTTTGTATTATTAATATCTCGTGCTTTTTTTTTCCTGTATATTTATAATTTATTTTTTGGTATAATACATACAAAATACAGGATCAGAATTATATACGGAAGATATACATAATATATATACTCATTATATACAGACGACATAAATAAAATACGCAACAGATATACAGAAGATATATCAATCTTGTCATTACATACAAAATATATACAGAAGATATACGAAGCGCGGACGACGAAACATACGAAGCATGGGCGACAAAATCATATGCTGAACATATACTGTATATACACGCAACATATATTACCGATTGTGAGTTTACGATAAATAAATATCATCCTATCAATAACGCCATTAAAAGCTTCATCACTCCCAATCCACGCGCCCACCGTCCCCCTTCCCGCGCGGCCGCCATCTCCACCATCAACCTTTTTAATCAACGCGCATAAATTTCCCCAACCGTCGGAAATCATCGCTCGTCCACCATCAGCACGCTCGAGAACGCGAAGCCGCTCTCCCGGCAGCGGTTAATGAGAGAGAGGGTTGAGGAGAGAGAGAGTTGAGGAGAGAGAGAGAGAGAGAGAGAGAGGGGATAATTTGATTTGAATCAAATGGGAAATAATAGATACTAGTATTCGATTTTGTACATGTACACATATGAAAATAATTTTTATAAGTTATAGTGTATATCTTATATTTGAAATCATAAGTTAGATAATTAGTATATCACATTTAATAAGTTATATTTAAAATCATAAATTAGATAATGAGTCTATCACATTTTATAAGTTTTATCATCAGTAACAATGAAAGATATAGATATAAACTACATAACTTACCTACGAAAATTTATATTGATTGTAACAAAGTAATTTTTGCAATTTTGGATATTTATGATTAATTAATTAGATAAAATAATATTAAAACTTTTATTATGGCAGTAGTGTATGAAATTTTAAAGGGTGAACATTTAAAAAAAAAGTGAACTAGTTTATGTCAACTTATTAGTAATAGCAATTTGTACCTTAAATTAGTTTGTGCTATAGTTTAGCTTAAATTAGCTTAAAATTGTAACCGAAACAGTTGTTGAATTTATGTTCCAAATTGATTATATATATGCTTCCATT